TAAAATCCTTTTCCTCATGGATGGTGAACATTATTGAATGTCAAGTATGAGTATATTGTTGTAGAACTATCAGAAAATTCCAGAAAATTTATACCTGCCCCTAGGGTGGGTATTTCTGCTAGTATAAATAACATAAATTCTGCAGTCAACTATTTCATAAAATTTTCCTTTCGTTTTCTTACTCAGTACTCTACGTTGTCAGTGTTGTTGAATAACACAAGCATTATTATGAATTGCAAAATATGTTCTGTTGACACAAATATGATTGTAAGCGGAAGTAATTTTAGTGTTGCAAGTGGTTTTTATCTTTGGTTTTGCAAATAAAATAAGATTAAGTAAAATATCTAAATATTTCCAAGAGATGGCGCCAGTACGTTTATATTTCTATTCTGTTCGTCATATATTTAATAGAGCGGACAACATACTTAACAAATTAAAGCCTATTATAATGATAATTGTTTTTCCGCACATTAAATAATTTCTATTTACTAATGGCACAAGTTTTCCAACTTGTGATATAAATCTTACAAAACTATTAAAATCCTTTACTGAAGAAGAAGGGGGGGGGGCTAAAATGCTTTCTGAAGATCACCACGCATTATGTAGGTTTAGGAACAGATTGTGAGGGTCACTGAAACAGAGTCTGTTATAAGATTTTATGCTATTAGGCCCCCTCGAGGACGCCACATTTGAAACGTGGCATACGTGTTCTGGTATCACGGGCGGGTATCCCAACAAGGTAGGTTTGTTTTCGGGAATGGACCCTCCTGTGGGGTAGCTATAGAAATAATTGAAGATAATGGAGGAGCTTGATTCGTGCATTGGGGCTTTGTGAATCTTAAGGGGATAAATAAAACTGTTTACAAGATTCCGGTTTGAACATTTTGTATATAGTTCTGAAGATGGCAGCACAGTTTCTATCACAGTGTGATGTTTCAGTTGTTAGTATCTGTTTGTCGGAATAGTTCATTTAAAGTTCTCAAAACACTTACCCCCTCCCTCAAAAACAAAACCCAACAACAACGAAAAACAAACTAGCAATTAAATCCGAATTTGTTTGGTGACTTATTTGGAAAATAACTGAATTCACCAAGGAGAACACAAAAAACAAAATATTTTCAATCCTTTGTTTTCTGTTTTGATATGTACATACGTAAGACGAATTGTAAAAAAAAAAATGTTTTAGAGCACAGAGAACACCCGAAAAAAAATATGCTCTTAAATAAGCATTTCTCAGCGTATAAAAAAAGCAGGGACTAAATAATTAGTTCGTGAACCATACGTAATGGTATAACTGTTATTCAAAATATCCGTAACTTTGAAAATAAATAATACACTTCGTTCATAGATTGAAAAAAATGATAATTAATTAATTGCAATAGCCATACTATGTTCGTCTTAGACATAACTAACACTTAACAATCAATCATACTATATTTAAGACAATTTAACTAACACTAATGACTTGCGATAAATATCTTATCTTTACTTTATAGATAAGAAAAACAAGGCTTGCATCATTTTTATCCTTTTTTTCCTTGACGTTTAAACTACACGTAGAGTATTCTTGAATCGAAGCAAATGGACGTTTTTCTGTATCATTTCACTGATAGAATTGATAAACTAGTAAAGACAGGTTACCCTGATTCCTCAGAGAAAGTCCGTAGTCTCGTTAAAATGCACGCCCATACTTCTTCACTAGAAGCGTATCCAGCCCTCCCAATTTGGGAAGAAGACACGTAGGTTCTAAGAGTATGTAATAAATCATGGTTTCCCTGACGAGTGGTTGTCTAACAGCCGTTAACTGGGTATCGTCTTGCGGCTCTGACATACCATCAACCGTCGTACTTCATGATAAAGAAAAGAGGGTACCTTAATAATTGCAATGCTTTTAGTTGTAATGCCATGTAAGAGTGACCGGATGTAAGTGACCTATTATCTACGTCGCTAATAGATACGTGTCTGCGCACGTAGAGACACAGAGCTTAATACGCGTTTGTGTGTGTGTGTGTGTCTGTACATTTCACCAGCCATTTGAACAACCTATCCAAAGACTAATAGGCGGTCATAATGGTTTTGAATGAGCTTAAAACATCAAGTTAGCGCACTTTATGTACATTATCAGCACATATTTGATTAAGACATCTCCATTTCATTCATAGCCTACAACGAACATAAAAACAACAACTCGAAATATGAATCTAAAATTAAAAACCTCATAAAACACGAGAATACATCTATCATCGATATGTTTATAATCACATGTATTGATACTGATATTGGCTTTATTATGTTTTAGGAGGTGTTATAATATTTTGGTAACATATGTGCGTTTTACAAACAAAGTTGATAAGAGGCTAGAAATCATTGTTCTCATCTTGTCATGAATTTTGTAGTCTTGCTTTGTTTTTTAAAGTTTTATAATTAGAACAAGGAAATCATAAAAGCAACTCTAAATAACGATTTTTGAGCCCTGAGAATCAAATGGAAGGAAAATGATCAGGGTATATATATATAGTGCTCCGTGATAACATGTTTTGTTCAGACCAAGGATCGGGCATTTGTTTACATTTGTGAAAGCGTGTCACATAAACAGAATAAATCCTGATTGTTTTAACTTTTATATCCTCCTCTGTGGGCTTGAAAGCTGATAACGCTAGATTTTCTGGGTTTGATCTCTGCGATGGTCACATTGCATATGTCCCAAAGTGTAGTTTTACGCTTGTTTCAAACATGTGTAGAACTTGTGTTTCGTCAGTAGAAGAATTCGGTTCAAGATAAGGGTGAGAAGGCATAGACAAAGTCATTAAACAAATCTTTTCATTTCCATTTTAAAATATCACAAATCCTAGACAAGGTAGGTACAAACTAAACAGTGGAATTCGAAACTGAAATATTTTCCACTCTCGTCTATAGAGAGATAAAACGATATGTATTCGTGTTTTATTCTTTCTTTTTTTTCTCCGTCATTACAATCTTGAGGCGTTATTCAGAATAGCTATACAACATTCACAAAACGTTTTTCGGTAACTGAAATACTTAAAAATTTATACGTTCGAAAGAGAAACAATACAAGGATGAAACATGAAAATATATTTAACAATAAGCAGATTGACTTAAATATACTCTCGCTTGTAATTGCAAATCTTGTTTTCCCGAGGGACGAGCCCCCCCAGTGGCACAGCGGCATGTCTGCGGACTTACAACGCTAGAAACCGGGTTTCGATACCCATGGTGGGCAGAGCACGGATAGCCCATTGTGTAGCTTTGTGTATAAGTACAAACAAACCGAGGGACGAGATTTAGTTAAAATAGAACAGAATATATTGGTTTAAATAACATATCCAGTTAAGATAGTAGCACCTAATCTGATATTAAAACATTGCAATTCATTTCAAGGGACATAGTTGTATTTATACCTGGCATCATTTGCTATAAATAATTCAGTTAAATAGTAGCACCTAATCTGATAAAAACATTGCAATTCATTTCAAGGGACATAGTTGTATTTATACCTGGCATCATTTGCTATAAATAACGCTTTTAGCTGATGTAAGGTCTTTCGGCGAATCGACGGTATGTTTACGGACTTATAGTGGTAAAATCCGGAGTTTGATTCCCCGCGGTGGACAGAACGCGGGGAAACAAACAAACAATAAAAGTTAACGTAAAAATAGTGAAATAAACATTTCTTGGCGCACTTATAGTCGGAATAAAAATACCAATAATAAAAAAAATAGTACATTTATAACTTAAAATCAAAGTGCATGTTTCCAACACATAACTTATTAAATTATTATTTACTGAACAGTTAAAGTAAATATGTACAAAAGCTCTAGTGTTAATATAGATAAGTATATAGAATCATGTCTTCTTAATATTATTGTGAAATTAATATATTATAAAGAAATTTCATTAAAATTTAAAATAATAAAACCACAGTTGCAGTTGTTTTTGTTTACCAAAAGTAGTAGTTACAAAGTAATCATTGCTGCACGAGAGGAAACATTTCAAAATTATTCATTTAGTCGAGTTGGTGTAATTTTAGAAGAACTGTTTGTATAAATGTAGTAACTCAATTCGACAATTGCAACAACTTCTAGTTTTATTTGTTTTTTTATACAATACATAACAATGAACCAATTTAATCTTCAACTTCTAAACTACCGACTTATAGCACTGAAATCCAACATCAACCTCAAGGTGCTAGAGGTAAGTTTAAAAACTTTAAACTGTATTTTAATAAAACATGGCAACATACAATAATAACATTAAGATTATTTTATAATGGCATGCCATTTTATCTCATAAAAATTTGTTGCTAAGCGTAAAGTTCCATAATGGGTTGTCTGTGCTCTGCCTACCACGAGTATCGAAACCCTATTTTTAGCGTTAAAAGCAACCGGACTTACCGCTGTGACATCGGGCCCTCATAAAAAAAAAATAGGATATCTGCAAGAGGATTATTTATTTATTTATTGTTCTTTAAGATACGTACTAGTAGAGACCTGATTATACTATATTTATTTAATTTGAATTGCACTTGTAACTTCTTGAAATGCAGTACCTATGTGATTTTTAGCACAACATGTGTTAGGCTTATTTTGTATAATCAATATATATATATATTTTTTCGTACTCGAGTTGACGAATCGATCGAAGTTCTTGCACAATGAATACTACATTTTAAACACTCCTTGCGCCAGGCAGATCGTTTATCTGGAGAAGAGGTGTAAACCGTATGCACATCTCATTATGCCTTTTCCGGGGCCAGCTTGGTGTCACATTATTGTGAGCGAAGTAAGTGGCGTTATGTTCTCAAGTTTGGTAACGCCCTTGGCGCCAGGGCGGATATCTCTCGCCCCGAGAGTTCAGCCATACACCTACAAACATGCACAAGGATTCACAACTCGCTGTCATGAAACCACTTGCAGTGTATCTGAGCTGCTGTACAGGTCTTAGGTTGAGCTACGGCGAAAAAGCTGACAGGTACCGCCCCCTGGAGGAGAGTACGGCATATACTGAAGTCCTATTTGAGATTGGATTAATGGAAAAAATACAAATGGAATAGTCTATATCTGATCGTAGTTTTTTCATTCATTACAATTTCATTAAATTCGGACCTGCGACCTGAACAACAACAAGAAGAAAGGATGGCCTTCAACCCGTTTCTTCTACCTTCTATCCGACAACCTGACTTTGGCGTGTGCTCACTATTATCTCAGCCATTCCACTTCTCCCTACCATTGTCACAATCATACCCGTCGCACTTTTTCAAACTGCCGTTGCCGTTGTCAGTACCACCGCAATTTGCCGATAAAAGCAGCTTGGAACACGGACGACAGTTGCAGCTCATGGGATCGTTCAATGATCACGACGATGGCGTACAGGACGACCCGAAAGTTACGTTAGAATCTAAGGAACTGTGGGAACAGTTCCACTCACTGGACACTGAAATGGTGATTACGAAGCTCGGCCGGTAGGAATTCAAGGATCTTTACTATTAAGGTTTATATTACTCCGTGAGTATGAGAAGAATATTAAGTACCCTCATTCCGGAAAAAAACGCTGTGTGCTTTATAACCGTTTTAATTCCTTTATCGTTCAGCTATTAACATTATTATGAAAAGATCTAACGAAAATCTTTGATTTAGATATAATGGTTTGTTATACTGATGAATAAATGGGAAAATCTAGCTAAAACTGTCATAATACATCTAATATGTGACCGGATGTCTTACCGTTTCGAATTTAAGCGCACGTCATTGGTTAGGGGGTAGAATGCTAATCCAAGATACTAAACTAAAAACGTAAAATAGTTTTTCCAGAGAGTATTGTAATAAAAACAAAATTTTTAAACCGAAACTACAAGTGTTTTCTACTGATCACAAACTCTAAATAAATAGAAAAGATATAAATATTGCTATATAGTTTAAGAAACATACTGGTACAAATGGCGTTTATGTATACACCTGCAACATGAAAGTGCCATACTTAACGAATAATGTTACTTATTATGTGCTAACCAGTAATTTTTTTCAACTAAACTATAACTTGAAGAGGGTACTATATTGTATACGAATATTTCTGTACATTTAAGTAATTTCAAGTTAACGTGAAAAGGTAATTCTGTGTATTCTTACAATAAAAACGTAATATTTGCACAATGAAACTAACTGATTCAACAATATACCGTTACATACTTCTAGACGACAATATGTTGATGTATACACAAACAAGAAATAAACGCTCCTGTTCGTTACGTTGGAAACCGGTATTTATATGTAGTTAAAATAAGGTACATAGTCAAGTTTGGTACTTTATGCTTGTGAAATATTAAGAAAATCCGAGTTAATCTGTTCCTTGATTAAGCCGAGTTATTTTTATTTATTTCATTATTATTTGTTTTTTGTAAATTATCGTAATGATTGAACCTAGGTATGGAAATGCTAAATTGTTCAAAACAAAATGTAAAACATGTTTTGTTGTACCGATGGTCTGACGATTTTTGTACAATCAGGACTAAGCGTGAATTAGACTACGCTATCTGATCTGGATCTTCCTCAGTGTGTGTGTTTTTTTGTAAATATAATAATCCTGTTTAAAGTCACCGTCTATGCATACCTTGCTGTATTTTTCAATACATACCAGCATATTTTCACTTTTTGATGCCGTTTTTACCGCGCACCTATTTAAACTTGATTTTTTCTGTTGTTACAGAATTTAATATTAAATAACAGTAAGTTACATGACAATGTTAATGGTATTCCAAGAAATGTCTGGCTTAGCTCAGTATAAGTCGTCGATAACATAATAAGAGTGTTATACGCGTAGTTCATGAATGGATTTAGTTCATTCGGCAATGAAACGAACTCAGTCTGCTGCGACCATTTAGTTCCATGTATGTGTTACTATTCCCCATGCTTTTAGGTCGTTTGGTCGCTGGCTGTCTTGTCATCGTTGGTGAGCTAAAGAGAATAGCTAATTATGTAGATCTGCAATAACAATTTTACGTCGTTGGTATCTGTGGCGTAGCTATAGCTTTCCTAACACAAGTCTTCTGTAAGAATTAATCGAGAATAGTTTAGTTAACCAAGAACTTCGACGTCAGAGGTTTTACAAGAACTTTAGGCTCAATATAACTTCATGCACATTGTAGGAACATTTTGTTCTCAGATTTACTAGGCTTTGCGATTTCCTTACTGAGTTATCATTCTAGAATGTTTCACAGTTTAACCATGTGATCAATGTTTTATACAACCAGTAATATTATGATTTCTTGGCTGAGTTATAATTCTAGAATGTTTCACAGTTTAACCATGTGATCAATGTTTTATACAACAAGTAGTATTATAATTTCTTGGCTGAGTTATAATTCTAGAATGTTTCACAGTTTAACCATGTGATCAATGTTTTAGACAATCAGTAATATTATGATTTCTTGGTTGAGTTATAATTCTAGAATGTTTCACAGTTTAACCATGTGATCAATGTTTTACACAACCAGTAATATTACGATTTCTTGGCTGAGTTATAATCCTAGAATATTTCAGTCTAACCATGTGATCAATGTTTTACACAACCAGCAATGCTTCAGTTTGATAGGATGTTTAGTAGTGAGCAAGACGTAATTCTAACATCTTCTCCTTGTTGAAAAGTTTAGCTCAAGACACCTTCTGGATTCGTAAACAGATAATTCTGTGATACAGATACTCATGTATATTTGCTTACTCGAGATATCAAAGTAATTTTGTTTCCCCAGAATAACTCTGTCATATCTTACGTAAGTTACTTCTCTTCAAGTTGTTTACCAGAGATAAAGTTTTTTGCTTTTTGTTTTACCCAGCATAACCGTGTAATTTCTTACCTGACGTACTTCTATTTAATTATTTACTCGATATGCACATTGTTAGATATACAAGACTGGTCATTTTAAGAGTTATTATTTAGTTTATTTATTGATTTAATATTTAATGATTATTTAGTTTTAATAACAAGAGTATTAAAAGTTAATTATTTTATTAGTTATGACAAGTTTCGTTACGTAACTTTGAACGAGTTGTACGTTGTGTATGTAGTTTAATTGTTGTACTAAGCTTTTGTAATATTGTTGACGTCATCTTACTCGAAGCTTCTGTACGTTTTTCTGGTTATGTGTCACATTTTTGTTACTAGAGGGCTAGATATTTTTATATTTTTCTGTCGCTTGTTATAAATACGTGCAGATACGAAGAGCAAACAAGTTAAGTTAGAGAAAGTATATATGAAGTTAGACTACATATCAGTTTAGCTATAACGGGCGATTTCTAAGGTGAGTTTCACAGCTTGTATTGTTATAACAGAGATAAGGAAAAGTAATTTATCTTGTCAAAGGGTGTTCTAAAGTAATTGACTCCGCCTATGTGGACTTTGACGAAAAAGATACAATTATTTATAGCTCTGGATACAACTGTGATTATCAATAGTGTAACGAAGTTTTGTACATACCTTTGACTTGTTTCGAATATATTATTTTAAAACAAGTGGATTGTCTGTTGTTCGTTTATTGTAAAGAATCCAGCCCAATAAAACAACTGACACACACTAATTTCAATTATCCATTAATATTTTACCCTTGATGTCCAAGCAATATTTAACTGGGATATAATTCTAATTATTTACCCTACATAAATTCCATAACTGTTTACACAGTATATGTTTTTTTTTATATCTACGAGTTATTTCCAAAATTGTTCATTCAGTACATTCCCTAGTTGTTCTATTGTTCTTCTTTTTTTGCAGTAATATAATTTTTTGTACATTCCTGGAATTGAACTGTTTTCTCTGTAAGGTAGCTTCTAACCCCTGCTAATTCTTTCAGTTCGTGTTATCATCATGATTTTTCTTCAGCTGAAAGTTAGTACTATGACAAAAATTGTAACATCATACATAAACACTTGTTAATAAAGCCTAATCATATTTATTAAAAACATACAGGTTTCCTAGCGCTATTCCACACACGGCTTTAAAAATTGTCTCATTGTTAATGTACGTGTTAAGCCTACAGTTAGCTGTCTCGGTGAATTACTTGCCCTTTGTTTACAATACAATAGTAAACAGATGCCAGATATATTTAATTTCTGTAGTGCATATTGGTGTATAAAAGACATTTTAGTACTAGTAGTAAATGACCTTATAACACAAAATGTTATTTTTCATTAATTGACCACCCAACGTTTCGCTTTACAGCTTTTTCAGGAGCGCTTTTGTTTGTTGGTTTGAAGTTAAGCACAAAGCTGCCCACCACGGGTATCGAAAGCCGGTTTCTAGCGTTGTAAGTCCGCAGACATACTGCTGTGCCACTTTGCTCCATCAAGTACATGTACACTGACAGAAAATTTAAAAATACTTTTCTCATCGAACAACTACGACCACAGATGAATAGGGACGAAGGATGGCACCTATAATTATAATTATGTTACTTTTTCATTTTCATTTTTGTTATATAAATCTGTAACTTAGACATAACTTTTGTTTACTACAGGTAACTGTTAATTATTTCAACAATAAGTTTTACTGCCTAATATTCGAACACATGCTTTAGAAATGCACGAATCGAATTTACTATTTAAATTAATTGAAGCTTTTTACTGTCAGTTAGTGGAACGCTCCTGAAGAAGCTGTCAAATGAAATGTTAAGTGAGTGTCCAATTAAAGAAAAGTAATAAATTTGGTGTTATAAGGTCGTTTATTACTAGTATTAGGAAGCAAAATATAGTTAAATTGAACTTTATTTATTTCTTGTTAAGCAGAAAGTTTCGCAGTGGGCTATCTGCGATGTGCTATTAAGTGACGCTCATATTAGTTTAGGGACTGCAACTAAATTTTAAAATTTAATACTTTTAATACTGAGAAGAATCACTGGGTAAAGAATCAGATTTTTGGGGTTGCTGTAAAGAGGAAGAAACTAATACACTTATTATTAGTATTTGAATTTGCTTAACAAATCACTGTACAAATATTCAGTAACTTATTTGTTACATCTCATTCAAGAAAAGAAACCAATAAAATCTTATTTGACAAGTGAATCTGCTTTCAACAGGACCTCCCTTCCACTGGTTCAGCGATAAGTTTGAAGATTCATAACGCTAAAAAGTGAGATTCGATACCCGCAGTAGGCGGAGCATAGGTTCCCCGTTGTGAAGTTTGCGCTTAAACAACAAACAAATAAGTCAGGAGGGGCTCGCTTAATACAGCTTTATTGAATATATATATTTTCTTTCGTATGATGTGAGTCTAACGTGACCAAAATCCCTAACATTCGGGTTTCAATAGCCACGGTGGGCAGAGCACAGTTAAACCATTGTGTAACCTTTTGCTCAGCATCAAACAAACAAACTAACGTGACCATAAGACCTCGGAAAACAAACTAGACTATGACAAAAAAAGTGCAAATTTAAGTTTAAAACTGGTTGGTCAGATCGTGTTTGTTTTTTTTCA